AAGTGAAAGTACAAAATGTGTGTCAGATTATCACTTATTGTTGATTGAGTATCCTCGTTACAAAGTAACAGCTTGTCTTTATCGTTTGTAAGACTGCGTTTAACTGACATCTTGGGTTAGGGTCTGCCTTTATATACCACTGATGAAAGTTCTTGATACTACGAGTATCCCAATTCCAGATTGTGCGCGAGGAATCCCGAATGCTCTAACCTATTTATAACAATAGACTGGTGGATCTAGAACTTTCGAGAATTTGCGTTATTTAGAGAGAAACTATGAGGAATAATGTTGTATATAATGTGTAATGCAAAGCAATACAAAAAGTAGTATGCCTACCTTTATAATATGATATCCCTCGATTTAATCATTAATCCTATTAATATTAATCGTGAACAGAATGTTTCGAATTGTTTATCAAGTTTGGCGTCAGAATACTTTCGGACATTTTTAAAAAATAATTTTAGAAAAGAAAGCAAGTAAAATTAAAAATTATTTGAAATCAAATAACCGTTTTATTTAGTACTAAGAGTTGTTATTATTTTATGTTCTTATTTTAAATTTAAAATATTCATAACAAAGCTATGTTTAAAAAAAGTTAGCCCTTCACAGAAACTTTTTGTATCAAGGGAATACGACATATATTTTTACTGGTAGTGATTTGTGCAAAAAAATAATTTGAGAAATATATTATTCAGCTAAAACAAATGTATACATGTACGGTATATATGTAAATCATATGCGGTACCAATTTTGATGCACCATATGCGCGTTTCGACAAATTATGTTTCTTCAGTGATGCTCAAGCCGAAACGTTGGAAATCCAACATATTTGAATAAAAAAGACCTTGAAGAGCTGAAAAAGGTGCCAAAGACTGGAGCCAAATACATCGAAGGATCAGAGCTATGCATGAGGGAGATAATCCTTAATTTTGAAATAAATTTCTAAATTTAACCACAGCAATTAAATATATATCCGTATTTTCAAGCTAGAACCGAAGTACTTAAGCAGCTGGGCTGTATAGAGGCTCTCGAGAACAGGCCTCGACCCAGGGATCATAATGTAAATGATATACGGTACCAATTTTGATGCACCACATGTGCATTCCGACAAAAAGTAGTATGCCTACCTATATAATATCATTCGATTTTCATCAATCCTATTAATAGATCGTGAACAGAATTTATTGCCTAATATTTATCAAGTTTGGCGCCAGAATACTTCCAGGATTTTTTTTCCTAATTTATTTATTTTTGATATTTTTTTTTAATCTGATTTTTTTAAGAAACAATTTAAGAAAAAGGCAAGTGAAATAAATATGATTCATTTTTTAACTTAAGGCCGGTTTACACTATGCATCTTGACACATACATCTACATTCATGCTTCTATTTTGCCTCATGCATCTTGTTATTTAGACTATATGTGTCTTGACACATGCATCTTCAGAATACTTTATAAATATGAAGTTTTATCCTCTTGAAAAAATAACAAAGCCTTCAAATTCCCTTTCTAGATTTATATTAGCTGAGCAAATCATTCCTAATTTCCTTTTTATGGTAATTCTTGGAAGATATAATTTAATATATATTCCAAAGAAACTCCTCTTTATGATAACAATCAAATTACTTTTTCTTATTGTATTTTAATCAGTATTTTCTTTGTTTTGGTTCTTTTGGGATGCAATTTTTGCAATAATATGGAGGAAAATAAGACTTATTATCCAATCTCAACTCTGACCTTTCTTCTAATTGGTCAGTTCCATGCATCTTGACACAAGGAATAGAACAAGTTCTATTCCATCTGTCAAAACGCAACACCTATTAAATTTAACACAAGGCCTATTTACACTGTGAATTTAGATGCATGCATCCAAGATGCATGTGTCAAGATACATGGTGTAAACCGGCCTTTATAGTTGTTATCATTTTATGTTCTTAATTTTAAATTTATAATATTTATCACAAAGCTATGCTTAAAAAAAGTTAGACCTTCACAGAGACTGTATCAAGGGAATACGACATATATTTCTACTGGTAGTGATTTTTGTATTAAGGTATGTCACTCATGAAATTAGTCATATCAAGAATTTTTTGAAAAGTATATTTTTGATAAGTACTCATACAGCATGACTCAAAATCGCAAAGAAAATGGGGGGTCAGTGTGCATCTTACTGAGCAACGGTTAAAATTAACTTGATCTTTTTGCACTTAAATTATAACCCTTCGATTAATCACTCTAATCTTTATCACATTTTATCAGATGTAATCATGGCAAAAAATATAAACTTATTTTAGGTAACATAGTTTGAATTATATTTATCATTGAATAAATAATGCAAATTAATGCGCAAAAATTATTATGTGACCTTTTTGCACTTAAATAGTATCATATTTGGGATATTAAAAGTCTAAATAGGCAATAAAATATTTTCTTGTATCAAACTTTTTATAACTTAAGTCGGTTGGAAGAATGGTGTAGTTTAAAATAACAAAAGAAAAAGTTGGAGTCAGTGAGTTAAATTTATAGATATTGGTCAAAATATGCGACTTTCAGGCCAAAAACTGTAAAAAAAAAAAAAAAAAAAAAAAAAAAAAAAAAAAAAAAAAATCTTGACTCCTTTAATATATCTTCATTTCTTGGCAAAGTCTGCTGAGTGAATGTGTAAAATTTGTTCTAAAATTATAAATTGAAATTTATATTTAATATTCATAGCATATAATAACGGAAAATATTTTCTGAGTAAAAATATGCGGGGCTAAAGTTCCAAGATATCAACAATATATATATATATATATATATATATATATATATATATATATATATATATATATATATATATATATATATCAACAAGATATTAACAATTGTGAGATTTGAAGAATTTTCTTCTACCAGCGCAAGAAATAGTCCCTCATAAATCTTGTTTCTTTATGACTTTGTGAGCAGTTTTTAATTTGAATGTTGTATAATTTGCATTGTTTAATACAAATATGTTGTAAAAATTGAATTGAAATAAATAGTTTTGAAGTTAAGGTTCTGACTGAATTTTTCTTAAAAGCTGAAGAGTGACATACTTTAAATTACTTTTAGAAATATTTTATTCAGCTTAAACACATGTATACATGTGCCGAACCAAATATTGTAATTTAGAATGCTAGTATCGGAATTTCTACTCACATTGTCTGACTGCCACTTTTTTAAAATATTATAGGCAGTATAGACAATCTCTACTTAAACAGTTAGAAGCACAACATGTAGAAAAAATGAAATCTTGCTGAAAACTAATAGATAAATTACAAGGTACAGAAAGTATTAACAAAATATAAATCCCCAGAATTGATGTGGGAACAATATTTTTTACGTACTCAAAAGTTTGTATACAACAAGCAAAAAAATATAATCACAAACCAAAAACTTTTTCCCAATAACATTTGGCGTGAATCAGGGCAATACTCTTAATCCCCATTCAATCAATTTTTCTTTGTCAAGGATGTTATAGATTATCAGCTGTTGACACCGTTTTTATGAATTCAAATTCAACTAAGTGCTTGGTGTTTGCTGACGACATGACATTTTACTCTCCTCCTTGGCAGAAGGGTTACGGGAGGTGCTCAAATATTTTGCATAAATACTGTATGGATTGGTGTCTCAATATTAATACATCAAAATCTAAGATACTACTATTAACAAAGCAGGTACACTCTCTAAAAGAAAATAACCGCAGACGTTGTCCTGCATTTTGGTTCTGGATATAAATATTTAGGTGCATTGTTTTGTTCCTCAGACACTTTTTCTTTTACTCATTGGCAACTTTATCAAAAGCATTAAATACTGGTAATTAAACTCGCAAAATATTTCATATATAGCTGAATCCAACATTGGAATCATTAATCACATTTTCTGTCATAATATTAAATCTATTTTGTTGCATGCATATGAAATTTACATGTATTTTAACTCGTTTACTAAAAATTTAACATTCCTGGCTGTAGATCTACCATGATAAAGTATACTCCAACTTGACCTGTGAAAAATATCATCTCAAACTTTGCAAATCATAACTTTGTGTGCATAAATCTGAAAAAAAAATATATACTGATTACCACGCAAGCCAATTGCTTGATCATCGTCATAAAACCAAAAAATCTGACAGTTTTCCTTATATTTACATGCTCTTGATTCCATAAATTCACGTGCTACAAGCCCCGCCTACTTCTCTTTCTCTGTCTCTTCTCTTTCTCACGTCCCCCACGTGATTTTATTTTAACCACATTTTCTGTTTGGACTTGGTTTCCTTCAAATAAAAGCTAGAAAACACCTAAGCAGTAAGCGCTCTTCGTAATTCTGTCATCTCTATTCTGGTGCAACAAAGCACCATGTATGGCTGAGATATCCAAGACGGGAGCACCTATCTGAAATTTAACAGGAATCATTCTGATAAAGGTATATAATGAAGGGGGATGGGGCATATCTGTTTAATACAGTAAAAGTGATTATTTTTAAACAGATTAAGATTCTGTAGGTAATGTGCAAATTGTCTGGAAGACCCACCTAATTGTGGAAAACACATACCGAGTATGTTTTAAGATTTAGTGTTCCATGAACTCTAACAATTTTGACGGATATATGTAACAATCAAGGTTTTTGCAAATATCGCCTATTGCTTAAATGAAGTTTTAGCAGCTTGCAGGGGAGCCCCACCCCCACCCCCGTTTTTATTTTCCGTTTCTGTTTTGTGCAGACTTATTTTTCGTAGTAGTTAAGATTACAATTATGACTTTAGCTAATCACAGTTCCAATCCTGATCATTAAAGATAGTCTCAACAAATTAATGTTCAAATATTCATATCCGTAGTATCCAGAACTATCCTGGGTATAACAAGTAAAATAACTTTCAATATTTATAGGTTTTATTTATAACCAAAAAATAAATAAATTTAACAATGGTATATTGATGAAGCAAAATCACATACAATAAAATTCAATGATAAACATACCAATATCTTTAATGTTCTACGTATATACATGATGCATGAAAAAAGACTTTAGAAACCGACAGTAGCATAAATAAAGAGATCAACTAAAAATCAGATTTGGTGATCACATATCTAGTCCATCTCCTCTACTGTAGGACCACCATTAGCCTGACTAGCACCAGACTGGTTTGGATTTCCTCCATGAAGTTTGGCCATGATGGGAGAGCATACTTTTTGAACTTCCTTTAGTTTGAATTCGAACTCATCAGTATCTGCTAGGGCGTTACCATCTAACCATGATAGCGTTTCACTACAAACTCTGGTCACAGTGTCTTTGTCTTCAGACGGGAGTTTGTCTCCATGTTCCTCTGTTGTCTGTTTGACAGAGAACACATATGACTCTAGTTGATTCCTAGCTGATATTCTTTGTCGTTGTTTCTCGTCTTCATCTTTGTATTTTTCGGCTTCATTTACCATTCTATCTATGTCAGCCTTACTCAGGCGACCTTTGTCGTTGGTAATGGTGATTTTGTTGGACTTGCCCGTACTCATGTCTTTAGCTGATACATTTAAGATTCCGTTGGCATCTAAATTGAACTCCACCTCAATCTGTGGAACACCACGGGGAGCTGGTGGGATTCCGTTTAGTTCGAATTTACCCAGTTTGTTATTGTCTTTGGTCATAGCTCGTTCACCTTCAAATACCTGAATGGACACTCCTGGCTGGTTATCAGCATATGTAGTGAATGTCTTTGATGCCTTGCAGGGAATTTTGGCATTTCTTTCAATAATTTTGGTCATGACTCCTCCAGCAGTTTCAATGCCCAAAGAAAGTGGAGTGACATCTACCAGGAGAACGTCTTTGATGGCTTCACTTGTGTCTCCCTTTAAAATGGCAGCCTGAATAGCAGCACCATAAGCCACAGCTTCGTCTGGGTTGATGGATTTATTAAGTTCTTTGCCTCCCATGAAATCTTGTAGCAGTGTTTGGATCTTGGGAATTCTTGTCGATCCGCCTACCAGTACCACATCGTGGATTTTGGATTTGTCCATCTTAGCATCTCTTAGAGCTTTTTCTACCGGCTCCAGGGTAGAACGGAACAAATCTGAACACAAGTCCTCAAATCTTGCTCGTGTGATTTTGCTGTAAAAGTCAATGCCCTCAAAAAGGGAATCAATCTCAATGCTGGCATCAGAGCTACTGGACAGTGTCCTCTTGGCACGTTCACAAGCCGATCTGAGTCGTCTAAGTGCACGTTGGTTGTTGGAAATGTCTTTACTGTACTTGCGCTTAAATTCCTGTATAAAGTGATTCACCATTCGATTATCAAAATCTTCACCTCCAAGATGTGTGTCACCAGCAGTTGAGCGAACTTCAAACATGGAACCCTGATCTATGGTAAGGATGGACACATCAAATGTTCCTCCACCCAAATCAAAGATGAGCACATTTTTCTCACCTGAAAGGTTTTTATCAAGTCCATAGGCCAGGGCGGCCGCTGTAGGTTCGTTCACAATCCTGAGAACATTGAGACCGGCTATGACTCCAGCATCCTTGGTAGCCTCTCTTTGAGCATTATTGAAGTAAGCTGGGACTGTAATGACGGCGTCTTTGACGGGCTGTCCGAGGTAAGATTCCGCTGTCTCCTTCATTTTGGTCAGCACCATGGAACTGATTTCCTCAGGTGTAAATCGCTTTTTCTCATTCTTGTATTCTACCTCAAGCTTTGGTTTTCCTCCATCATTGACGACTTTAAATGGCCAGTGTTTCATATCGGCTTGCACACTGTCATCATTAAATTTGCGTCCAATCAGCCTTTTGGCGTCAAAAATCGTATTTCCGCTGTTTAGCGCTACCTGATTTTTAGCTGCATCTCCAATGAGTCTCTCCGTGTCCGTGAATGCCACATAACTGGGCGTCGTTCTATTTCCTTGATCGTTGGCAATAATCTCCACCTTTCCATGTTGAAATACACCAACACAGGAATATGTTGTTCCGAGATCAATGCCGATTGCTGGGGCTTTACTAGCCATGATTGTTTACAAACACTAAAGTGAAAGTACAATATTTGTGTCAGATTATCACTTACTGTTGATTGCTTATCCTCGTAACAAAGTAGCAGTTTTTCTTTCTGTAGTGTAAGACTGCGTTTAACTGACATCTTGGGTTAGGGTTTGCCTTTATATACTACTGATGAAAGTTCTTGACGCTTCAAGATTCCTTATTCAAGATCGTGCGCGAGGAATCCCGAAAGCTTTAATCTATTTAAGGACATATGCAACGTAGTTTGAACTTTATTGTCTTTTTCCCTGGAGTTTAACAGTTCCAATGCTTAAAGGAATTGTGTGCTACATTTGTTTGTCTATATATGCTGTTGTACACTTCTTCTAAAACAAGTCTGGATAAACAAAACATCTAGAATATGTGTTTAGTAATTTTTGTGTATTTTTCTTTGAATTATACAAGAATTTTCATCAATTGATATCTTTTCAAAACCCCTGGTAATGCATGCTGATTTTCTGATGGCACTTGATCTTAATTTAAGAATATCTTGAAAAATTATCAGTAGGTAAGGTATGTTGCGTATGTCCTTAAAGCATGTGTAGCGTCGGCGGATCTAGAATTTTCTTGAGAGTTTTATATGCTTCTTATTTTTCTAAACAAATTCAACTGCAAATTGAGTAGATGTTAGAAAATGATATAGATCAATACTGGTCGACAAAAAGTTTTAGATTTTACTAAGAGATGATTTATCAATACTGATCAAAAATATACTGGTATTGTAACGCAAAGCTGTACATAAAGAACAGTTTAATTATACTTTAATAGCCAATTTTTGGTATACGATATATATTTTGATATATTTTTTTATTGTTTTTCTTTGTTGTAAGTATATAATGAATGAAATTCTTTAAAAACGCCACTTCTACTTAACAGTTTAGATCTGAATTCAATACATCTTTATTGACCCGTTTAGCCCTCTTTTTGGACCTGAAGTTTTTACATTGAAAATAAAAATAGGTTGTTTTTAAAAAGGAATCTTTACCATAAAACTGACTCAATTTCTTAGTTTGCTTTCATGAACACTGTGGGGTTCAGCCTGAACCGTTCAGGTCGGTAGAATGCAGGGGTGGGGCGGGGGGAGGGGGGATATGAATATAGTATTTTGCTATAGTAAATTTTCCTTTATACTCTGCCCCCCCCCTCCTCTACACACACTTTTTGTTCCTCTAAGGTTGAGCACTTAAAAGTTCCAGGATTTGGACAGTTCATAAGGTGGGGTTTTTTGTTTGTGTGTGTGTGTGTGTGTGTGAGGGTGTGTGTGTGTGTGTTTTGTTCGTTTTTTTATTTTTTTGTGTGTGTATTTTTTTGTTTTTTTTTGGTTGTTTGTTTGTTTTTTTGTTTGTTTTTTGTTTGTTTGTTTTGTTTTGTTTTGTTTTTTTTTTTTTTTTGCTTGTCAGATTTTTTTGGGAAGTTGTCCCTTTTTTTGAATCCGTTGTTACGGGCCTGATTTTACATTAAGATACATTTTAGAATGTGTTTATGCCATCTACATGCAATATGACAGTCTGCTATTAAATCCAAAGTAACTTTTGATCCACTTAAAATAATAATAAACACCTGATATTTTTTGCTTTCAATATTTTTTTTTCAAATTGCCAAAATATCTGAAACTACTAGTTCCATGTTCCTTAGTTTGACAAATTTTAATCTGGGTTTTATTTCAATCATTCTGTTAATTTTTTTGTAAAAATTGAATTATACACTTTTTTTTCAGAGAACTTAATGTGTAGCATACTCACCTGTGATTTTTCAATTCCTGGGTTATGTGTGTTTTATTTTTTCATCACATTTTACTCAAACATACCAGTATCAAATTCAATACAATTTACTAACATTTAGATACAGAAAGGTTGTATTTATAAAAAGCATCACTCAAATTTCCAATAGATCAATCGGTAATTTTTTTAAAAAAATGCATATTCTAAAGTGTAATGTCTGATTCCAAAATCTTCTTACAGGGGGCTGACCCTATTTCAAGCTATGTGGCAAATATTGTGCGGTTGAATTTCTTTGAAATTAGATATAAAGAGAGATTTTGTATCCAGAAACAAAATTTCAATGTTTCAAGAAAATTGAACTTGAGGGAAAAAAATTGGCCTATCTACTGTGTACTACCATAAAACAGACAGGTACGGCAGCAAGTTTTACAATGTTAATTTAAGCGTCCATGGGTGTTGTTGTTATTTCCATAGATTATCTTAAGGTGACGTGTAAATTAATTCCAAAAGTGTACTGCATAATAACGTTGTTGACGTCGAGCAATGAAAAATCAGAAATAATGATGGGTCCCTTTCCGAAGTGGCGGTCATTTTTGCGATCCCCGTAAACTTTGAATTTGCTGTCGTGTTAATATAATTCTAGTAGTTGAACTCGAAATTTCTTATCAAAGCAGAAATCTTTTGGGGAAAATAGTCCACTAATAGAAGCTAGTTTGAAAGCCCAGTTTTCAAAATGTGTTTTAAGATATAATGCAAAAATCGATGCCATTGGTACCGTGGGACAGATTACTCAAGAATATAAACATCATAATATATAGGGGAATTCCAAAAAAAAAAAAATTATCAGACTTATAATTATCAACCTGCACTAAAAATCGGGTTACATTAATAAATTTCTGTAACTCAGCATGTGTCTTTTGATACAGTCTAAATGCCTGCCAAATATCGCATTGATGTCTTAAGACACGAAAAGTTATGCCCAAAAATGATGCTAAAATTTTCAGGAGAGAAACGCCTCTTTGTGACATTTTGAAAATTCCATGTTTTGAAGATCTGTCAAATAAATAGTAGTGATTTATATCAGAAATAAAGATTTTCCTGATAAAATTCAATATATTGAGCTTAAAGTTTAGACTGTAGTAACTTGTGCTTGACCAAGTTATGGTCACGGCTGACGCTGAAAAAAATGTTACACCATGTCAGGAGTGCAACAGAAAAAATGTACTGATGCCAAAAACATTGATTTTAAAAATCTGTATGACAAGTAAGTCAAAAAAATTGTCAAAGTGAAAAACAGTAACTGATATCCCAGTTAAAGGTTTATAATGCTCTAGATGCATCACACGCAGCATTGGTGAGAGTTAAGTACTAGTATCTGTGCATACTCACTTATGCCAGGAGTGCAATATATTTGATGTTTTACTCCCCAAACTTGGAAAAACTTTTATCAGTATATAATTTTAAAAAATCTCTTGGGGGGGGGGGGGTACACAAGGAATTTTTTACCAAATAATCTATCATTTACAGGATCTTTTTCAGAATCACATTTCCATAGTCACAAGTTAGGCTGACAATATTTACATTTCCAAATATTTTTCCTTAAGATTCTTTGCAAATTAGAAAAGGTTCATGCCGTGGGATGAGTAAGAATATTTCCATTGTGATGCGATTGAAGTCAAAAAATAGTGCAAACTTTTTTTTTCAAAAATGATCGTTGAAAGACAAAAATATGTGGCAAGTCATCAGAAAAATAATGTAGATATAAGATATGAATTTAACTTTTGAGAATTCTTGAGGTGCATGAACTACAACGCTTTACGCCTGTATATTTATCATGAAGCGTTAACGCGCTTCATGAAATATACTGGCGTGAAGCGTCGTAGTTCATGTCCTCATGAATTCTCAAAAATTAAATTCATCTCTTAAATAAACAAAGGTTTCAAAATGAATACCTGTCCTCGATTTACTTTAGAATTTTATGAATTTCGGCTGACTCCTACCACATTGTACGGCTTTGCTCTTCTTGTATACTAGTACATTGATTTCAGCGCTAAAACTTGTTGAATTGTGGTTTAGATATATGAATTGATGATGTGAGATAAAAAGTATGCTGTATTTAAATCTTCAATTTGTCACAGTTTACCGGGGCCCATAAGTGCACCTGAATTATTTGAGTAACACTTGAATGCAAATATTACCTTTATTGTTGTTTTTTTTTTTTTTTCATTTAGAAAATAAAGTTAAGAACATTTTGAATTAAATAATAATGATCGACAAATTGACTTTTTTTTTTAATTCAACTTACCATATTTTTGGAGTTATAAAATCATACTGTATATTCTAGTTAGAATTTCTGAAGTTCAAGTGACAATAGAATAGACAAATGGATAAAAAAGTTTCAGAATTTTTATTAGTAGAACTTCATTTGAAAAAGAAAATATTACTACATCCCAAAAGACTTTCTAAAATATTTAATCAAAACTAAAAAAAAAAAAAAAAAAAAAAAAAAAACAAGCAAACAAACAAACAGAAATTAGAGGGGTTTTTTTATCCTTCAGACTTGCATGTGTCAGGATTATAAATGATAAGATGTAAACCTTGATTGAGTATCCTCATTTAAATGTGGAAAAAAAAATATAATTCTATATTTATTTTGATATATTGTTATTTTACATTAATTGTCTCGATTCTGGTTTGAAAAGTTTAAATGTGAAAGATATATACCGGTAATATGAGTGAAATATGTGGAGATAATGAACAGTATTCGAGCTCTAATGTCCATTAAACATCACAAAATAGGAGCTGAGCAAACATGGACCTCTAAGACATCAGAGGTGGGATCAAGTGCCTTGGAGGAGTGAGCATCCCCTGCCGACCGGTCACACCTGCCGTGTGCTCCTTGTCATGATCGGGAAATAACGGAAAAATCCGTCGACAATTCAGTGTGTAAATAATGGCCTAACAATTAGTGTGAAAAAAGTCAGTCAGCATTTGACTTAATGAAAGATTGTATTTGCTGACAAGATCATTGTATCGACCAACTTACGAAATGATGACTTTAAATGAGACTGCTGATATTCTTGTTTCATCAACTTGTTTGTCAATAATTTACCTCGTTTTAGAAATTGTACATACGTAGAGCATGCTCTTGCATATCGAATCAACTGAGACAATGAATTCCCCAATATTACTTTTTGTCCTTTTAGTCAATTTTTCAATTGTAAGCCAAAGAGAATTTTGATACATTAGTTTTCTAAAATAATAATAATAATGCTAAAAATAATAATAAAACAAACAAACAAAAAAACTAGATTTTGAAGTGATCTCATTTACCTTATTTTGTTGTACTCCTGACATTTGATATGTTTTTATTAAACAATATTAAACAATATTATAAAAATTATTACACACAACAAC